CTCCAATTCTGCACTGTCTCCTGCACTACAGAGGATATCTTCTTTGCTACTGTTAAAAGAGACCCTGATAGACCCTATAGTCCAGAAAAAGTGTTATTGAAATTAAATACCATTTTTATCTGGGCAGATAGTAGAGAAATGTCCAGGATAAACTGTATGGGTTGAGGCCGGGGTTGTGGCTCAGCAGTAGAGCTCTTGCCTTGCATGCACAAGGCCCTGGGTTCAATCCCCAGCACCACCAAGAAAAAAAAAAGCTGGGTGTGGTGGCACATGCCTGTAATCTCAGCACCCAGGAGACTGAGGCAGAAGGATCACTGTTTGAGGCCTTCTGGGCTATAAAGTGAGTTCAAGACCAGCCTGAACTGCATAGCAAAACCCTGTCTCAAAAAGACAAAAAACAAAAACGAAAAACTGTATGGGTTGGAAGACATTAAGACTGGCCTCAAATACCAGTCATGGGGATGGCTGAACAATGCCTGCGTCTTGTTCTAGAACAAGCTAGGGCTTCTCTGGATCCCAAAGTACCCGAGCATCTTACAATCTTTATGGAGAGCGGCAACTTCACTGGGGTAGGGAGTGGAGGTTGGCAATTGTTTCCCGATACTGACCCAAGAGAATACTCAGTTGTCTTGCAAGCCCTATTAAGAATTATTGGAGGGAAGCTTCACAGAGGGACATTTGTCAAAGCTGGGGAATTAGATTTTGTTGACCTACTTGCAAGCTCAACCTGAGCACACTGATCCTCCTCCTTCCTGGTCAGGTCTTCAAACCGTTGGTTGTCACATGCTTCTGGAATCACCAGCTCTTGTCTTTCGTTTGGTGCAGTCACTGATTCCTTGCAGGGATGGGGGCAGAGGTGCAAGCAGCGGGAATTAGGCCAACTGTTGGGGGAGAGCAAGATGAAAATGTTCTGGAAGGTTTATCTCTTTTTCTCCTTGTTATGTAAGGCATGGTTTCTCCAATATACTAAATAAAAGTTTGGGCCTCAGCCCATAGGAACCTATTAGCCCACATCGCTGCTGACTATATTCAATATAAAAAGGGGAATACACTTTAAGGGCAACTAAACAGTGCAATTTTGAGTTTAGCACATAGTCTGAGCAAGGCTGAATGTGTGGTAGAGGCTGGAATGAGAGACAGATGGATAAAACGTGGTCCTCTCCCTCAGTGAGCTCACGGAGAAAATGGTTGGGGCACAGGCCCAGGAGGGGAGCTGCTAGGCACACTCAGGAGCAGCCAAGAAGACACCGAAGGGGGTGGCGTGAAGGTGCGCCACGGGCGGAGTGGGGCCTTCTGAGGAGCTCTGGCAGTCTAACCACTCAGATGGAAGGTAATCACCCGTCCTTTTCATGTTGGGTATAGGTGGATGATTTTCAGAAGGCCAATTTTTTTCTTATGGCCTTGCCTTAGACTGAAGAGTTATGTACAATAGTTCATTACCATGAAAAATATGAAAGTGTTTAATTGCAAGAGTATCTTTTATATCTGACCTTCTGGAAACAGAAACACAATAGCTCCATATTCTGTTTAATAACCGGTTCGTTATGTAACGTTGTACCTTATTAAAGATAAAGCAGGGAAAGCCTCATACGGTTACCAAGGATACCAAATCTCTAAATTCTGATCTGGGGTCGGAAGGAGGAATAAAGGGGGAAAAGGGAGGAATCCCCGGCCAGGGTCAGGCCCAGGAACAGCTCACTGAAGACTAGAGATCAGATACCAGTGCCCACCTGTTTTCATGAGTATCTGGGCAGCACTTTGTGCAGGTCGATTAGCTTTGTGTTTAAAAAAAAATCATTCAAAAAGTTGTAGGTCTTGGAGAATTTCAGATTAGAATTTCTGGTTAGGGATGCTCACCTGATAAAATCTATGTAAATATTCCAAATGCAGTGAACTCCAAAAGCTGCAACACTTTCTGGTTGTAAGAATTTGGGTAGGGAACTCTCAGTCTGTAGGAACTTCTTTCTATTGGGTGCCCACAGAGAGGGTCCTGTGGCAGGCTGTGAGCAATCGCAGAAATGATCTTAGACTCAGTGAGGTTTGCTGTAGTTTGTACCTGAACGCCCCCCGAGACTCATGTGTTAAAGGTTTTGTCCCTGGCTTGGTGCTGCTGGGAGGTGGCGGAAATTTTAAGAGGTGGGATACTGGGAGGTCTTCTGGTTATCCGGGGGCACGTCCTTGGAGGGGACATGGAGAGCCCAGCCCCTTTCTCCCACTTGCTTTCATCCTTGCCACGACGTGCACAGCTTGCTGTGCCCCATGGTCCCTGCTGTGATGCTCTGCCTTTCCATAGGCCCAAAAGCAAGGGTCCTCCCGACTATGCGCTAAAACCTCCACAACTGTGAGCTAAAACAAACCTTTCTCTCTTTTTAAGTTGATTATCTCAGGTATTTCATTATAGTAACAGAAAACTAACAGTGTTGACCTGCTTTCACGTTAACAGGATAAGAGACTGACCAGCATTCAATTTTTTATTGAGAGTTTCGGCTGAGCCGAGCATCTGTCCACATTTCCATCCTCTGCTTAGTCTTCTGTAGTAAGGAAGTGAAACACAGAGAAGCCACAGGCAAAGAAAAGAAATGAAAATGAAATAGATAAAAGTCAGAGGCAAAGTCTATGGAATTCCTGAAGTTTGAGTTCATTTATGTCACTAAAAGCATATGTAAAATGTAAAATATTTGATAAGGTACCTGAAGAACATGCTTTGGAATATTAAAAACCATTAAGACTTGCTTGTTGGACCTCATGCTTTTGAAGGCTGACGCTGCTATAATGTCATTTAGCGAAACAGACTTGAAAGTTTTGGCTGGGGAAATATCTTACGCGTAAAAGTATGAGCTGTGGTCACGATGGGAGGACCCTCTTGAAGCAGCATTATGTTTTCTCCCACTGGGTGACCTACATCTAGATGAGCACTGAGATGGCCGGACAGCAGCACAGATAGCTCGAGTCTAACGTATTCTGCAGTTTCTATAATGAAACAGCCTTTCTATTCCTTTGTTTCTTTTTCTCCTTCTCTTTTTTAATGTGGCACTAGGGATGGAACTCAGGGCCTCATACGTGCTAGGTAAGCACTCCATCATTGAGCTACACTGCCAGTCCCTCCTAACACCTTTTAAATTTTGAGACAGGGTCTTGCTAAGTTGCCCAAGCTGGCCTCCAATTTATGATCATCCTGCCTCAGCCTCCTGAACAGCTGGGATTACAGGAGACAGCTTTTCAATCATAAATATTTTTTATCTCTATGCGCATGCAGCAAATAACATAGCGGTGTTACCAACAACAGAAAAATAACATAAAGCCACCCATAAAAAGCTGTCTGGGAAAATGAGCAGGCTCTATCAATCACAAGATCCAGGGCATCTTGAGGACCTCATATGTAGAACTCCTCCTGAGCTCCTACAAGACGTGGATGGCATAAAAAGGACCAGCTATCATGGAAAGCAGCTATTGTGTGTGTTTGCAGAGTAGCCCTTGCTGCCTGGGAATGTGGCGTGTACTTTTATTTTTGATTTTACCCTCTTTTACTCTTTGTTCAGCCCAACTTTGCTCAGCACAGCTGGTTTCTCCCATACTCTTTTATCCTACACTTTTCAGATAAACTTTTTGGCACCATTATTGCTTTGTCTCATCCAATTCTTTGTTCGAGGCAAGAGGAACCTGGAATCTTTTGACTGGCGAGCCATTTCTAAAGGAACTACCCTGGGGGCTGGGGATTTAGCTCAGCGGCAAAGGCGCCTGCCTGGCAAGCGCAAGGTCGTGAGTTTGGTTCCCGGTACCGGAGAAAAAACCAAAAACCAAAAACCAAAAACCAAAAACCAAAAAAAAAAAAAAAAAGGAACTACCCTATAACAGTATGATAAATTATGGAGCATCACTAAAAGGGCACATGACACAAATGTTAATTAGGAATAATGTATGGAAACAGGGAAACATGCTTAAGATGTATTTGAAAGAGAAAAGAAAAAGAAAAACACACTGTTTTAATATACATACTGTGTGTACATGTGGAGGAGTGTCTTCTAGACACTATGTCAAAATAGAAATACAAAGTTCTATTAAGATACTGGGATCATAGAGTCTCAAAATATTTTCTTTAATGTGATAAAATAATAGTGGTAATGGTAATAGTGAATTCATGAAATAAACGATGCAAAGATATTAACCAATAAGTAGGGATTAGATTTCATAAATGAGAAAAATCATTTATTTGTTTGTTTGTTTTTTTTGTTTTTCTCCGGTACCAGGAACCGAACTCACGACCTTGCGCTTGCCAGGCAGGCGCTTTTGCCGCTGAGCTAAATCCCCAGCCCCGAGAAAAATCATTTAAAAGAATGAACTTTCTTCCTTTTCTATATTTGCCAATTTAATAGGTATTAAGATTTTCAATACTGAAAATATTTCCAGAGAATCTGATTAGCAGGGCTTGGAAGAAAGCCTGAACTTAACTGTATCTGGATTTTTTCTGCCAAGATTATTGCAACAGAAAAGAAATCTTGAAGCAGTTGTCTGATCTGTTACGGTCTGGCTATCTTGGCTGGATTCACACGTAGGAGTCACGCGATAGTTTGGGAAAAGGACTCATGTGCTTGCTAAGTGAAAATATAGAGCAAGAGGAATTAAACAGAAATTTTGAAGATAAAACACCACTTAAAATCAAATAGAAATAAGTATTTAGATTAATAGCAAGGTAAGGGAAACTAATGCTTCTTTAAATTTATATCAGTTTGGAAGTTCTAAAAGCTTTCCAGAAACAATCCTCTTGCCTATTATACTATATTAATATTAATAATTTTCTAAAGCTGTTGATTAGAATGAGCAGTTCCTTTTACCTCTAAAGGGCACAAATACTCCTTTTCCTCCTTTACTTTTATTTTTGTTCAATAGAACAGTAGTTTCACCCTGTGCACAAGGTAGAAGTGTTGGCTTGGGGTAGCAGGCCACCTTTGTGCACAGAGAAAGCTGCCACTTATCATGAGATGTTACGAATTGACACGGGACACAATCACACGTTTTATTCTTTCTGGTTAGCAAAGCTCAGCCTCCAGCCCAGCATTTGTGAACAATTACTTTAGCACAGAACACTCCCTTCCACGCACACAGGACGGATGCCTTCAGTGCCTTAAGTAGGTGGGTGAAGAAGAAACCTGAAATGGACTTCTGAGATGGAATTTGAGAACGTGATAGCATACATAATATCTCTAAACTAGCAGGTGGCCCTGGACTTGGGATGGGACCCTCTCTCTGTCTCTCTCTGTCTCTCTGTGTGTGTGTGTTATATGAAGGAGTTTTAGCTGGTTCCAATAAATCAGAAAGTAACTTTCCAAATCTCGAGCCATACCTCTCAGACCTGTGTAGTCACTATTTCTTCAAACATCTGTCTTGCTTTCTCTCCTCTTCTTAAGATGTCAACAGTAGCAAACACTTTAGGGGAAGTTTTTGTTTCTAAGAGTTACCGGAAATTTTCTCCTTTATAGAAATATTATTTCCTGCTTTCAAACTGCTTTAGAATTATTAAAAAGTATTATGGTTTTAGGACACTATCTCTCCCCATCCCAAATCCGAATTCAATTACATTTTTTTTTTCAATTACATTTTTGCAAGGCTGTACATTATACTACTTTGGGCTATCTGAACATTTAGAAGCTTCTCCTCAAAAATATTTTACTCCTAACTTTTTCAACTTTATTCCCAAGAAAGTATTGTATTGAATAAATAATACTTGGTAGTCAGACACATCCGGGTTTATACATCTATAAAACTTCATTAAATAGTAGCAATTCAATCCATGTCACCTAAGTTCGGTTATAAAACTGCATAACTTTGGCATGCATTTTGCTGTAACTCATTTTCTGCCACAACTAAAGTGCCTTTGGTAAAACACAGAATATTAAACCTCAGAATAAATGACAGAAACACTTTGGTACAAATCAGTTCCACTGCCTCATCCCTTTCATGTAGTAGCAAATTGAGGTATGAGGAGATAATTGCCCAAAATCACACATCTCACTTTTTGACATTTAAGCCCTATTAAAAAGTCATCTACTTTAGATCCTGAACTGGATCTGAAAAGTTTGATTTTTAAGAGCATAATTTCCATGACAGAACAATTGGTATACCTATGAAAGAATTACAGAGTTGGACTTGAAATCTATAAAAGAGATAAGTTCCAAACTTTTGTCCTCAATTCACCTTTTGGGGGTGACTGAAACCATCTAGTAACTTAAAACTGTCATCCTTTGAGGGATACAAAATAATTCTCATCTTCAAGATGAAATCTATCACCGTTCTTATATATAACTCAATGTGCTTCTGTGGCAGGGGTTATAGGGTATTTTGGTTCATTGTCCTTTTATCTATTATAGTTGAACAAGAGAAATAAGTAGAAAATAAATTTTAGGATACCATGGTGATGTTTCCCCTCAGATGCAAAAAAGTATGAAATATACTTTCATCATACAAAGCTCATTGATTTGGAGAACTTAATAAAATCTGGGCTTCAATTAAGTTTAGTAGATTAACTCTCGTTTCACTGGCATTTGTATTCTGTGGAGTGTTGAACAGATGTACAAATAATGAGGCTTCCAAAGGTTTAACTATTGCATTTCATACACATTTTGCATAACATTCAGCGCTAACATGTATGTCTCAAATTTTAAAAAGCTTCTAGTGGCTACCAGGACACATCTCCCAGAAATGCTGAAGACATTTGAGTACATATGTAAAATTCATCTTGTCTTGATTTAAAACAAATTCTAATCTATGAAAATGTTACATCAAGCCATTTTGCACCTGGTAAGGAAATTACACATGAATAATAGTAAATGCTAACAAATTTCATATAAACACCCAATACATCAGTTTAAATGATGAGTTTAAGAAGTAAAATATGCCACCTAAAATATTAGTCTTTCACATAACTGGTCACACTTATTTTATTTGAAACCATGATCTGTCAGAGGATAATGCCATGGAAAGTTATACAGTTCAAGATTTTTAACTTCCCTTTCTCCCAAAACCGTCCTTTCTGAGGCAGGCTTAACTAGTCTGTCTTGATTTTTTCCCTTTCAGTAATTACCAAGAGTGAAAAGCTTATCACCAGACAAAAATCGTTTCCTATAGTGGAGCACTGAAGTGGTTTTCTTTAGGCTTCTTCAGACATAACGCAGCTGTTTGCACGTGGGCGGCCCGTGCCTCACTTGGTGCCGAGAATTCACAGCCCACTCTGGACTGATCTCGCTTTCCACAGGTGCTAGTAAGAATTTTGGGGTTATTTCACAAGGGTTTGACATTGTACAAATTGTTCAAAAGAACCAACTGGAACTGCTTCCTTTCCTACCCTCTGCCTTTTCCAGGGTCTTTAATCCTCATCACCCTTCCCTAAGCCGTGTCCCCAGCATGCCTATTTACACGCCTTTCAGGCACCGGAGGCTGGCACAGCCGTCACATACCACGTCCGTCTCTAGGCGTGTGAAGGCTGCCGGAGAAGAGCAATTTCCATCCACTGGGAGCTGACCTAGCTGTTTCTGTCAACACCACAGCACCCCTGCGCGCAGAGCTTAGACGATCGTCTCATGGTCCCACCTGCCCTGGCTCGGATTGATGTAACAACAGTACCGGTCATAGGGACTGTTCTGCTTGTAGGAGCAGACGATGATACTGTCCTGGGGCACGAAGAAGATGCTGTCCTCTGGCTCGGGGCACTCAGATCTGTCCCAGGCAGAGGAGCACTTGGCGTCCAAGGCACTGTAGGCGAGAGAACTGCCCGAGGGACAGTAGCCACCCAGGTACCGGGACGTCTCCTCCTGGTGCGCACTGTGGACGAGGCTCCGGCCTTCTTCCTCCGTGGGTGTGTGCGTGGCGACGGAGCCGGCCGGGGGCACCTCACTGTGCGCCTGGGGGAGCGTTTCCCCCCGGAGGCCTGCCTTCTTAGCCAGCTCCTCTGAACTTCCTTTGCCTGACTCAAGGTCCGAAGGGGTCCGCAGCAGCTCCACCACCTCCCTGTCCTTGGGTTTCCGGAAGCAGGGCAGTTTGCGGACCCAGAGCAGCTCGTTCTCCGGCCACTTGGTGCACCCTTCCGTCTTCCTGGCCAGGGCGATAGCTGCGATGCCCGGCAGGCAGATGGCCGGCCCGATGGCCAGGAGGGGGATGTTTCCCAGAGTCTCGCCCTTCATCCCAGAGACGGTGAACATGAAACCGAAGACCAGGAAGACACTGACCAGAGCCACCACCAGCCCAGTCCTCGGGTTAATGTCGTCGGGCCGCATCCTTCACTCCATGCAGGTGGGGCTGCTGGCTGGCCGGGAGCGGCGCTCCTCCTTCTGTTAGGGTGAAAGCACGGTGGATTACAGCAAGCCCAGCCCCAGTTCCCACCCTCCAGCTCGGGTCTTCCTCGCTCCTTGTCTCTGACTCTGTCTTTCAGTCTTGGTCTCCTGGCTTTGTTGCGAGCCCTGCTGTGATCTTTGTCCATCTTCTCTGTTCCCACGTAGTCTCTCTCTCCCTCCGTCTCTCTCTGTCCCTCCTTCCCCCCTCCCTCCTCCAACTCTCTCCGCCGCTCACCCCCTCCTCTTTTCTCCCTCTCTCTTGCAACCCCTGTCTCTCAGAAACAAACACCAAGTGGGGTCTCCAAGTTACCTGAGTTTTCCTGCCTCCCCTCCGCAGCAGGGGAAGAAAGTCGGGGTCCCTTCGGAGATGTCTTCAGCAGTTGCCCCTTGTTCT